GTATAAACTGCTCTGAACTCTTATGGAACATACAGCAAATTACCGCTACCACTTACCATCAATCATTACAGGAAAAATTAAAATTGCCTTTACTACAGTGGATCCAAACATAATATGAATCTATTTCTCCCACATCCATGAGGATACAACAAAATATGTTAATTTCAGTTTTTCACAGAAACATTACTGTTTTCTCACACTACATGTACAATTATTATGATATTAATATATCCAGTGTGATACTGAAAAAAAAATCCAAAATGTTTTCTCCTGCTTAGTTTGACTTTATGCAGATGTAAAGTTAAACAGAGGCTACTTATCAAAGGTAGAAATTTCAGCACAAGTACAAAGCACTCCTTTAAGTAGATTAAGTAATTGAGTTAGTTTTTCTAGACAGATCTACTTATTTTCATTCTAATAAAACTAATTAAGATACTTGATTGTTACTGGAAAATGTCAATTATAATCTGTTTGAAATAATGAGGTCTTGAGGGCCCCAAAAACTCAAAATAATTTATCCAATAATACCCTGAAAAATTTCTCTTAGTGAATAAAAGATGACACTAATTGAGCTGTTCACCATCAAGGACTATTGTCAAGTTTATAGAACACTTAGGTTAATAAAATGTTTTCTTACTGTATTTTTTGTCCATAGGCTTCTGTGTTATGTGAAAGTTAGTATAATTAGCTAAATTTAAAACATTTCTTGTAATTTACTCCATAACCTAGAAAGACATACAGTTTAGTAAAATATGGACTCCAATTTTCTCTGGGAAAAAAGAACTCCGTAATTTAGATACAGGCTCACCATCGCCTGCCTTTTCCCATACTTTCTACGATTTATGTTTATATAAAGTGGTAATAGGGACCTTCTTGGCACCTCAGAAACTGATGGCAGTTTCCAGAACAATAACATAAAATGTTATGACTTATACATAGTTTCATATTTACCATCCCATTTGGTCTTCACAATTCTACAAAGGAGATGCGGCACCATCAACAGGGCTTCAATGCATGAATCTGCAAGTTGTATGTGATATAACTCTAGGAGACACTAAATTGTAGTAGATACAGATTTTTATATCTGTTGTTACTATTTCCCAGCAGATGGCAGTATAGCATCTTGCAGAAGGGGACCTTTTTTTTTTTTCTTTTTCATAATTCCAACAAAGGCACGGTAGAGACTAGTGGTAGGGCTACTGTATTACCTTTCCCTTTATGAATGAGCCTCAGAGAAGTGAAGCAACTCACCCAACATTCCTGATAACCAAGGCAGAAGCATAATTTTTTTTTTCTGGAACCAGGTTAAGTAAATACCTATGGATGGGAAAACATAATTTATGTGCATAAATGGAGCTTTGTAAGATAAGAAAAGGCCAGTAGGGTATGGCCTAGGTATGCTGTTTTTTAAAGGAGTTCTTTTTTAAAAAAAAAAAAAATTATTTATTGTAATTGACAATAAAATTGTATATATTTATCATGTACAACATGATGTTTTAAAATATGTATACATTGTGGAAATTGAGCTGATTATAACATACCGATTACCTCACATACTTATCATGGTTGTGGTGAGAACACCTGATATCTACTCTCTTAGTGATTTTCAAGAATACAATACATTGGTTTTTTTTCTTTTTTTTTAGCAGTTTCCAGCAGACTCCAAAATACATTGTTTTTAACTATAGTTACCACGTTGTATAAGAGATCTGTTGAACTTATTCCTCCTATCTATCTTGATCAAAAGGAAGAAAATATTAAATGCTGTATATTGCCTGGTTTAGGGTGTTATATCCCCACCTGTGAGCGTCTACATTGTCACAATGTCAAAAACTGTCAAGTTGGATTTGGAGGCACTCAGCATTCTCTCAGATGCAGTGTTTTGGACCCACACCAAAAGAAATCCTAAAGCATAAGGGGACTATGAAAATACAAACTGTCACATTCCAAGCATGCTGATGCCATAAACTGAAATATGAAAACTCAGAGCTGCCCAACAGCATAGCAAGTGCTACACTGACAACAGCCACAGTATCAAAATCCAAAAAGGGTGAAATAAAAGTGTTACCATAACTCACTTGGTGGCAATATTCAGGCAGTTCTAAACTCCTGGGGCAGCCATACTGCACCTGACTGATGCGAGGCCTTTTATGGTCCTAATTTTTCCCTCTGGGTGTGAACACTCACTACAGAAATGTTCATATTATTGGATCACTGGGTGCTGCATCTGACCCCACTGGGGATATCACAACATATACGGCATATGCTGCATATTATCTTTCCACATTCTGAAAATTTAATTTCAAAACACATCCAGCCCCAAGCATTTCAGATAGCTATACCTAAAGTGCATTCGATCGGCTCCTCTTCAGAATGTCCAGAACAGTGGTACTGATACACAGTATATGCTTTATAGTACATAAGGACTGTTGTTTATAAGAAGTGCTGTGTTATTATCAAGCCTCATTAATATCAAAGCCAATTACAATAAATCCTAGGCAATGTATCCTGTAATATTTTTATAATTTATTTATATAAATTAAACCCAAGGGAGTGCATAGCTAAGGAAAAGCAATCAGAAATAATTCATGAGAAGATATACCCTGTTACACTATACTCAACAGTTTGAATAAAATATATTAGGAAATGCTGAAATGCTTTTTAAAAAATGCTGAATACAAGAAGACAAATGGTTACTCTGCCTACAACTAAAATTAAAAGTTTATGTTGTTGGTGTGAGGCTGGGAGGTGCAAAGCCCTTCCCGTGTTGAGTCTGGTTTTCACAACTAGATTTGGAGCAAACTTTGGGAAAAAGGACCCTGCCTGTGGCCCCTCTACGTCTTTGCAAACTGTCCACATTAATTAGGTACTGATAAAAGATATGAAGGTACACAGATTCTGGTATATCGAGGGAGGGTTTACCCAGCAAAGTTTTTCTCGCTCTACATTTTGCTAAATGAACATCCCTTTTCAGACCTTCTCACACTATGAAACTTACTTTTTTTTTTTTTGAGATAGTTTTTCTCTGTCGCCCTGGCTAGAGTACAGTGGTGTCATTGTAGCTCACTGCAACCTCAAACTCCAGGGCTCAAGCAATCCTCTGCCTCAGCCTCCAGGTGCACGCTACCCCCACCTGGCTAATTTTTCTATTTTTTGTAGAGATGGGATCTCACTCTTGCTCAGGCTGGTCTCTGAACTCCTGGCCTCAAGCAATCCTCCTGCCTCGGCCTCCCAGAGTGCTAGGATTATAGGCATGAGCCATCGCGCCTGGCCAGCCACACTATTAAACTTATTTCTGGATTCAAATTAAACAATATAAGAATAAATTCTTTTAGCAGCCAAAAGTGCTGGGCAGGTAAATTGCAGGATATATTAAATCTTGAAATAGTATTAAAAATAAATCTATTAACAAATTCACTTCATTGGCTCTCTAGTCTCTTACTTCTTCTGCTAATTACATTTTTCAGTCATCATTTCTGCGGAGGCAGAAAATTATAAGCTCTGTTTGCTATAAAAATAAGTGTTGCCAGAGTCTTAACAGACTCCAGTTATCAGCTGTATATGAAGAATCTTGGAGGGATAGGATTGCGATCGAATATTAAGCCTCAAATGTAATCACTTAACAAGCATGTTAAACCAGATTCCTGGTTTGGTAGATCTACGTGGAACCCAACAATTTGTAGTACAAATAAGTCCCCAGGTGATGCTGCTGCTGTCCTCAAACAACTTTCCCCTAGGTGTGGCAGGGAGGCCAGATGCTAAACTAGAAAGCTATTTCACAATGAGGTAAGGTTAAAGGCTGGGAGTCTTCACAAGGTATTTGATTTGAAGATGTTAAAAAGTTAAGGCTTGCTCTCTGGGAGGCCGAGGCGGGCGGATTGTTTGAGCTCAGGAGTTCGAAACCAGCCTGAGCAAGAGTGAGACCCCATCTCTACTAAAGTTAGAAAGAAATTAATTGGACAACTAAAAATATATAGAAAAAATTAGCTGGGCATGGTGGCGCATGCCTGTAGTCCCAGCTACTCGGGAGGCTGAGGCAGGAGGATCGCTTGAGCCCAGGAGTATGAGGTTGCTGTGAGCTAGGATGACGCCACGGCACTCTACCCCAGGCAACACAGTGAGACTCTGTCTCAAAAAAAAAAAAAGAAAAAGAAAAAAGTTAAGGCTTAGCTTGGAATAAGAATCCTTTGGTTTCAGATTTATACCTATTCTGTAATCATACAGTATCCTGGCTAATGTGTATATAGGAAATTTATGTCTTTTTTTTTTTTTTTTGAGACACAGTCTCACTCTGTTGCCCGGGCTAGAGTGCCGTGGCTTCAGCCTAGCTCACAACAACCTCAAACTCCTGGGCTCAAGCGATCCTCCTGCCTCAGCCTCCCGAGTAGCTGGGACTACAGGCATGCGCCACCATGCCCGGCTAATTTTTTCTATATATATATATTTAGTTGTCCAGATAATTTCTTTCTATTTTCAGTAGAGACGGGGTCTCACTCTTGCTCAGGCTGGTCTTGAACTCCTGACCTTGAGCGAGCCACCCGCCTCGGCCTCCCAGAGTGCGTGAGCCACCGCGCCTGGCCAGGAAATTTATGTCTTTTAAGGCTTAAGGAATTCCTGTGCAATGTAAACATTAATCTAGAAGCTATATATAACTGCTTGTGATAGAAAACTGCATTTTCTGTCATTTCACTTGTGTGTAAAGCTTTCGATTTCTCTTGTTAGTCAGAAACACATCAAGGTTCTGTCTTTTCTTACACTTGATTAAAATTTAATTTGTGGCTCTAAGAACTTTGTTCCTTAAAGGGATGCAAATGAGAAATTTCTCTTCAACATCCCTTCTGTCACGTCTTCCTAAAATATCATACTTTCAAAGTTTCTGGTGGAAGAAGCAATATTTAAAAAACTACTCTGGAATTAAAACATGAGAATCAGAAATCCCACAACATGCTACCTGCAATCTACAAGAAATTCACACTAGCAGCCCTCAACCAAGTTCTTACCTGCATAAGCTGCTGCTTCAATTTCTGTATTTCTGAAATGTTCAGCTCACTGAATAAGTCGGAGACAGGGTGCAGAGACTCTCCTTTCCTTAAGGTGGGAGTCCGATAGTCTCCGTTCAATTTCACAAGAGGTCCATGGATATGCCCATTCATTTTGTCATCATTGTTTGGTTCACTCCCGTCCTCGGCAAACTTGAGTCCATCTACCGAGATGCTGATGTGGTTATCATTGAGGGTGATGTACTGGGAGAGCTCCTTCCGCAGGTTGTTCTTTTGCTCCCTTTCATTTTTTAAAGTCTCAAGGGCTTCCTCCAGCTGGTGCTCGGCGATCTCTTTCAATCGGATGGCATCTTCCAGCTGGCTGTTCAGCAGCACTGTCTCCTCCTCAAATCGCTTAATCTCATGCTTTAAGCCTTCATACTCAACCTGAATCAGATAGGATAAAGATGATTCATAAAACTAAAACTTGGATCTTACGAAACTGCCATGAAACACTCTAGTGGACCTAATCAACAAAAAAATACATAACACTAGTCTACAAAATAATTCATAAAAAGCACATAGAATACCATTAAGGAATGGTTTCTTTAGAAATTATATACTATATGTAATTAGATATTATAATAATGTAATATAAACACATATGATGTATAATTAGATATAATGATATAAATGTACATAACTATATATATAATTTAATTCTTAGCAAAGATGAAACTGTCTACTGTCTTATAATTTCTTTTAGAGGATCCAGTGGTCAAAAGGGGGCACTGTTTGCCATAAATTAAACCCAAGGGAGTGCATAGCTAAGGA